TTCTCTGTCTACTGAAGAACAGTGCTCCACACACTGCACAACAACGTCTTCTCCGCCTACTGAAGAACAGTGTTCCACACAATGGATGACAGATCCTTCTCACTCTGCTACAGATCAGGCTCCCACATTGGGGATTTCTCACTCCGCTGACACATGTTTCGCTGTCTTCTCACACTCCCATTGTTGAGGAGTCTGATCCCCTCCACATTTCACAGTGCTTGTGTGTGCACTCAGTGTGTTTTTTCACTTCCAAGGAGACAAACAGTGACATAATCTTAACAAATACTTTAATTGCAAGTGTAGAGAAATGCCTGCATGCCTTCTGTTTTAGAAGTTGAGAAACTGGTTTTTCAATGTCATGCTCTGCTAAATTGCAAAAGAGCTGCGAGGCTGGGGAAGGGAGAGTGTGTCTGTGATGGTGGGGGCAAGGATCGGCTGAGACCCCTTTGAAATTTTAATTGTATATTTGATTGTAAAAATGTAATTCAGTTTATCTGCCTCTGCTGGTGCACAGTGTGAACACAACAACAATTTAATATTTACATTTGAAACGGTGACCAGATGGGTTTGTTGATTGTTTGAGTAGTGCTGTTGCTTGGATTTGCAAAATACTGAGCTGAAGTCATGTGATTGCTCAGAAGCCGCAGCGGTTATCTGAAATCTGAGTAGAAATGAGGAATTTCTCTCACTGATTGGTTTCGTTCTATCATTTGGCTGACCTGGCCGAAGACAAGGCCTGGAAAGGCAAGGACTGTCGCACTTAATCAAGACAACCGGCGAGGTGGTAGTTGTGTGGCGATGTCTCCTTAAACACAAGAAGAAGACCTCAGGTGCAGACAGGTCATCCTCAGTGCTGAGTCACGCATTGGCAAAGTCCCCGAGTCACAAGTTTTTCCTTTCCCAAGAGTCAGTCTGGCCATGTTGATCTCCCAGTAGGGCAGTAGGAAGACCACGCAGTGCAAGGATTACAATGGCACAACCAATTAAATTAAAAAAACAACGCGGGAGTTTTGTTGTGGCCAGATGTTTCTCCTGACCTGAGTCCAGTAGAACATCTTGTGGGACCAACCCGGCAGTACAGCCCACAGGAAGTGCCCTTGACCTGCCAGCTATCAGCGGTTGGGAAGACTTGTGGACATTCCCACAGCAGTCTGTCCAGAGGCTGATCAGGATTGTGTCAAAGTACCCAAAATAGACTTTGGCAACGCATCATGTTTAATACCGAAAATGTACCCGTGAAACATCTGTGAATCTATCATCAGAAAGCCTCTTATTGCAGGTGAATGTCCTGGCAACCTGGAGTCTATCACAGAAGGTGCACGACTACACCCTAAACAAGGGGGAGTAGCCCTCCCATACATACAGTACAGAGTACTGGTGTCCATTAATCTCAGCAGCTTTTCTTTTGGAGGAACCAAAGTACTAGGAGAAAGCCCAGAAGGACCTATGGGATACATGCAAGCTCCACACCAATGGCACCCCAGCCTGGAGTCGAACCCAGGAGCAGTGGCAGCGCTAACCCAGCATACCACTGAGCCACCTGTTTGACATCATATCCACAACAAATCATTGAGGCTTGAGTGTTATGTTTCTCTTGTCCATTGGTGTGCAAGAGCTAATGTCTCCAAGGACTACCGAATCCTTCAGGACCCGGGTTCAAATCTCGGCGATGGATTGAAACCAGTAGCGTATTCGCACAGTCGAAAACAGGTCTGATTTCCAGGTATATACTGTACAAAATCTTATCAGTCACCTTACATCAGGGGTCTCCAACCCTGGTCTTGGAGAGCCCCAATCCAGTCAGCTTTACAGATCACCCCGAATCAGTACATCTCCAACTTGGGAGCTCAACTCCAGGTTGTCTTGATAGTTCACCCTAAATCAGGGGTCTCCAACCCTGGTCCTGTGGAGTACCAGTCCAGTTAGTCTTATAGGTCACCCTAAATCAGTGGATCTCCAACTTCGGTGCTGGGGAGCCCCAGTCCAGTCACTCGTACAGGTCCCTCTAAATCAAGGGTGCCCAACCCTGGTCCTGGGGAGCCCCAGTCCAGTAAGTCTTATAAGTCAGCTGGTTTTAAAGACGGAAGCCACTGATGAATGAAGCAAGTAAGACAATCAGTTAAAAGAACTCTGGAGCACAACACTTAAAAAGATTTTAGCACTAAATGCAAATTCTTAACTGACGTTCAGCTGGAGACCAGGCTCTGACAGGCAAAGCCAATTTCGCCCAGATGTTTAAAACATAAATAATTACTGACTTATACATTTTATTTTCTTATATATAATATATATTGAATATAATAAAGATCTTTATATTTCTCTTGCACCTCTCTCATTTAGTCTCCTTCATTCCTCTTATACCCATCTCCCCCTTTACAGAAACCCCTGGTCCCTCCCTCTCTAAATGGTGGTCCTGGCTCCCTTTTCCCACAGCCAGGAGGCTGCCCCCTTAACCAAGGGGGGGTTCTGTTAAGATTGATTGTTCTCAAAATACTCAATGAAGCGCCTGATTCCTGGATGTCTTTATTCCCGGTAAAAATCTTTCTCAGTTATTGAATTGAACAAATCACCTGTCTATAATGGATCACAATGGGAGTTCTACCACACCTTTCAAAACTGGTGATTTAATGGTGACCCCACAAAACCTGCATTACTGAGGCTCTGCATGAAAGTGTGTAGAAAAAGACCTGAATTTACAAGGAACTAAGGCAAAAAAAAAAAACCTGCCCTTTCTCAGAATTAGATAATACAAGACAATGCAATAGAATGGAATTAGTACATAAAATGTTTGTCACGTCACTGGTCGGACAGCATACCCTCACTGCAGAAACAATGGGACTTTTAATCTCAGTTTCTCTTGCAAAAGTTAAACTACTGCTAAAAGCATAACTCACATTTAAAACGGCGTGTATCTCTGACAAGCTCTTGATGAATGTAGCATTAAGGCTTGAAAAAGAATGCGAAACTTATTTTAAAATACAGAGGGGCTGACAGAGTTTCGGGAATTGTCACTTTGAGCTCCACCAGTAGTGTGAGCCCTGTTTGTATCTGTTGTCTCCACTCTTTCACTGTGTCTCCTGTCCTGTTGTGTGTGTTTATTACTAATAGGTTCTCTGTTATCTCCTCTCTCACTGTGTCTCCTGTCCTGTTATGTGTGGTAATTATGGAGGAATTCTGTGTGTTTATTTCAAACACACTGACTGGGTGAGTAGTGAGAAGTGGGAGATCAATAGAATCTGGATCTGCTTCGAGCCTCACTAAGGAAGTTTGAAAGAGAGCAGTAGAGAAGGGGAGGGTGAGAAGAGGGAGGGTGGAGTGTGTCAGGCAGGTGATAGGTGACAGGCAGGGATAAAAGCAGGGGACAGTGGAGGCAGGTCCCATTGTAAGCCATGGCACTGCGGGGCCAACTACTCTCCCTGCTGACTCTGCTGCTGTCAGTGACAGGTAGGCTAGTGAGTGTGTGTGTGCACACCTGTCTGCCTGCGCACCTGTGTGTTTCTCTGTGGGTCTGTTGCCCAGTCAGTGTCGGCGTGTCTCTGAGTCTGCCAGCCTTCTCTTCAGTCCTGACCTGGGCCGATCATTTCAGATCTGCAGCGGATCCACCTGTTAAGCAGTGATATAAGGTGGTAACAGGCTTTGTGTCTGTGCCAGCTGTGTCTGTGTCTCACTGAAGTGATCCGCACTCAAGGGATCCAAAAACCAAGTGTCAGCCTGATCAATTAAATTGACTGGGTGAAACAACACCATCCTTCTCGTTTCCTGGTGGCTTCTGTTCCTCTGGAGGTGGTCGTCTGCCACAGTCTTCCTCTACAAGTTAGTCGTTTCTTACTGCACTTTGTACTGACTTTATTATGGGATCCAAGGGTTTTGCAATAGTTTTGCCAAGCGAGCACTGTGTTTCACTGCGCTAGACTGGTGGAAATCATTTCAAGGTTCAGATCCAGATTTACACCTATAAAGCTGGTGGCTGACATCTCTAGGAAAGTACAAGAACAGGGCTTGGATTACTGGTTCTCAATCCTGTTCCTGGGTTTAAGTCCAGCCCACCTTCATGAAATAATTGAAGACTTAATCGACCTAAGAAGTTGCTTTGTTGGAGTGTTTGCGTTTTGTTTCTAGTCACAAGTTTGGGATTTTATTTCATTTACAAAATATGAAGGTCAGAGCTCCAACATGTGTAAGAGCTGGGAGCAAACAGTTCAAATGAACCTTAAGTCAATGAAGGGTTTGATTGTGTCACTGTGGGCTCTCCTGGAGCAATAACCAACAGGTATGTGGGTCACCAGGGACAAGACTGGGAACCCCTGTTTTAGATGTCGAGAGAGTGTATCCAGATAAACACACACAACAGTGTCTGAACCCGAGATGGATTTCTCACTACCTCTGTCATCGGGCTACACTGCTGCCAGTCGCCTTCTGAACGAGCGCTGACTCCAGGGCTCTGTGAAATCAGGGGTGCTGGAGTGCAGTGTGAGCTGTGGGGGAGAACGCAGACATACGAGCGTAACAGAGGCACTGGAGCGCTGCACCGCCACTCAAGCAGAACATCAACATACTGTACTGCCAATATCTTACTTACGCTAGCAAGGTGTCCTGGAAAATATGTTTAGTTAGGATCACTGCATTCCACGATTCGCTGCTATCTGGCCAACTTGATCAGCCTGCTTACACCTGCTCTTCAATAACAATCAAGCCACTTTTTTGTTGAAGCAGGTACCCTCATCCTGCCTAAGCAGGAAACTGATTTCTCCTTGGTTTTGAGTAAATGTGTTCAGATTTTTCCTTGGTTTTGAGGAAATGTGTTACTGAATGGTTGAGAACAGCAACACTGGAACACAAGATCCGGTCCACTTCGATCCCGTTCAGTTCCCGACAAGCTGAGTTCTGGCACAAGAGAAGTACCTGTTGGTTTTTGTTTCAGCAGAGCCCTTGGTTCCACAATCAAAACCCCTTCATTGTCTTTGTTTGTTCCCAGAAGTACAACATGTTGGAGCTTAAACCATTGTATTTTCTAAGTGAAATAAAATCCCAAACTTGTGACTAGAAATACTATGCAAATATTACACTGAAGCAACTTCTGACCTCAATTAAGGCTTCAATTATCTAATTAAAGGGGGGAGGAAAGCAACCCAGCAGGTGTGTGGGGGTGCACCTGGACCAGAACTGCGAACCACTGGTCTATGGAAACCAGTTACAGTAATGATACTGAGATGTGATATATATAGATATATACACATATAGATGTGGTGAATAACGTGTCCATAAATCAACTACAGTTGACTTATTTCTTAACACTCTTGATATTATTTTCTATTCAGAGTACAGCATCAGTAAAGTGGCAGTAAAAGGCTCTAGATACAATGTGATATAATACAAACTATCACAGCTCTCTGTAGCCAAGGTAATGTGAGTACAGGAAGTACCGAATTACAAAGGGCTTGTGTTCAAATTTCATGTGTAAGCAGGCTTCTAGGAACCCAGAGTGCATTTCCCCCTAGAAGCAATGTGAGAAATGGTGCTGATGTACCTCAAAAGCCTTTTGAACCCACCATGCTGCTGAACTCTGTCTGATTGTCGGAACCCTAGGACAATTGACCCAGGTCGGACTTGGCCATTCTCTCTTCTCTGATCAGTTTGTCATGCTGTCATTCCAAACTGGTGGCTTTTCCTTCATACAGGTGTATCACTAGCATTGCTCTACAGCAATCAGCTTAGCGTCCATGATTTGGGTTGTATTCTGGATCAGTAATGGGAAGAGAAACTGCTTTAGCATGGCTGTCAAAAGTAAGTCAAAAGTAATTCCAGAGAGCAACAGCTTGTCTCAATTAAATTAAAAAAAATCCTCCTGGAGCTTTATTCCACTGTACAAATGCACCAGCAGATGTTCAGATGTTCAGAGGGAGTATGTCTGTGCCTGTTACTTAAGGAAGCAGACATCACATGAATATCTGCACTGCGTGAGTCAGGAACAAGTCTTTCCAAAATAACAGCATATTTCTATCTAAAACACACAAAGTGCTAAAATTTCAGACGGATTTTGTAGGAAAAGATTTGTAGCTGCCCGGCAGTTTCTGCTCTGAGTCAGCTTTGTTTGAAACGGTATTGTAAAGGAACACAGAAGTCAAAGGCTCAGCCTGTGGGGGAGCTCAGAGGAATGGGCAAAGATCTGAGGTCAAAATGTTGCCAACAGCTCCAGTACCTGCTAGAAAGATTCTACATCCCTCCCCGTTTTCAGCTGTGGTTTGCCCAGTCAGGAAAATAGTTTGGAAGGCAAACATGTAACCAAGGGCGGGGATTGGAAATATTCCCAAAACTCCGGTGTCGCAGGGGGGGTCAGTGTCCCCGAGTCCCCAAGACCACACGATTTTGAGCTCTGCAGCCACACAATCTGAGGTTGTCGAACAGCAGCCAGGAAAATCACCTTCCTGAACTTACAAACGTCATAGATACTACTGATAATAATAGAAATAAAAATAATAATACAGATTCCTGTCACATCCTGAGGAACAGACAGTGAATCTGTCTCTCAATAATAATAACAATTAGTTTTCAGTGTTTCTTCAGATCCGAATTGAAGGACCCTTAAACGGGAAGTCGAACCCGGGTTCACACTGGGAAAGAACGGGAAAAAATAATACCTAAGAAGGAATGTCCTTATATACTTTAAAACGTAAATGAAATTATTTAAAAATAAAATATTGATTTTTCCTAGTGTTTTCAGCAGTATCGTTGGCACTGAGGGTTTTGTATACTTGTATACTTGAGTCAGGTCATCATCAGCGCAGGAGATTCATTCAAGCCCTGGAGTATTGCTGATCACTCTTCTCTGTAAAGATTCGAGCTCTTACGTGTAAGATTGAGATCCAGGCTGTATCTGTGCCAGGGGTGGGCCCAGCGCTTGAAGCGACTTTGTAGTGACATTTTGTTGGCACCCAGCCTCTCGATTGAAACCTGTTCTGGCAGTTCCTTCTCCTAACATTTTAATCCACCCTGCATTCTCCCCTTGAACCAATCTGTTATTTGATCTGGAGAAAGGCATGCAGGCCTGCACGAGTATCACGTATAATCAGTATGTATAATCACATGTGCGGGCTTGTTCTCACTCTCGTCAGGGAGATCATATCTTGGCTCGTTTCCCTGTTACTCCTGATTTCACTCTCACTGGAGACACTGACAACCTCTCCAAACCACAGGAGAGGAGGATGTGCTCCTTCTGTTAGCTGATTTGCTGCTGAAGTGTCTCCAGCTGACGGTATAACAGCTGTCGGGGATTCTCATGAGCCAAGTCGCCTATTGGCCCCCGACTGAAGTTTTATGTTCATTCAGAAAATGGAAAAATGGAAAAAAGGAAAAAAAAGACTGAATCAAGTCTAAGTCGTTTAAAAGTTAAACTTATTGCCAGTCCACAGACAGAGATGTCAGCATATTTCTTTTTTAAAAGCAGAATGTCTTCTCTGGCCTTTTGCAAAATTGGAATAATTAATTCTTGGTCGTTCTTGATTCCTGTAAACTCTCACGTCACATGTGGATGTCAGGTGACGGGTGCCAGACCAGCCCCAGTGGGGTGCTGTCCTGAGGCAGAAATTAGCCCAGTTTGCTGTGAACCCCTAAATTCAGCACCACCTCTTGGGGTATCCACAGCTATCCCATAAAATGGGATATGGAGAAGTGAGTTCAAACTAGATCAGGGGAAGAAAGGAACAGAGAAACAGGGCATAAGCAACACAAAAAGAGAATAAAAAACAGGATCAGGAAATCCAGAAGAGGACTTGGGAATAAAAAGGAACATGGAACACAGACGGTGGAATAAGGATATAAATGTATAAAGCGTAAAGGGAACAAGAACATGCAGAGGAAGAGTGTGAGTAAGGATCACGGCTAAAGAAACAATAGGTAAAGACCAGAATGATTAAAAGAGAACGATTAATAAGAAATGAGATAAGATAAATAAGAAATAAGAAATGAGAATTGGCCTATAGGGAAGATGGCGGCATGGTGGCGCAGTGGGTAGCATCTGCTCATTCCGGGTGTCTTTGTGGACATTTTCCCAGATGTTTGTGTGGGTTTCCTCCAGATGCTCCGGTTTCTTCTCACAGTACGAACAAGTGCTGGTGGGTTGATTGGATTCTGGGAAAATTCCGCCTGGTGTGAGTGTGCGTGCATGTTTGTGTCTGTTCCGCAAGGGACTTGTGCCCCCTGCTTGCTGGATTAGACTCCAGCTCCCCTGTGACCCTGTAGTGGTTGTAAAATGAACGGATGGGTTTAAGAAGGAATATGGGCATGGGATCAAACCAGACAAACCCTGCTGGTGTCAACAGAGCTGGACAGGAAGTGGAAGTTACATGCTCAAGGTTAGGTGGTCATGACTCACTTGTCACTCTTATTCAATATAAACCTTCTCCTTCTCCATTTCCATTTCTCCCAGAAGACATTCACAAAGGAAACACTTCCTCATTCATGAAACTGGATTCCTTTAATATCTATATGTTTTGTGAACACAGATAAAGATATCAGCTTAGTCCACAAGTATATGTTTCATCATGTGACCAAACTGGAGAAAGAGGAGGTGAGACTTATGGTTCCTGCTACACTGGAAAAACAGCATAATTAATCGTTATTCGATTCCTGACACACTTGGGTAACTAGAAAAACTGCCTGATGGTTCTTTATTAAATTCCTGCTTCACTGGCATAACTGTATAGAAACGTGATGGGTTGTTGTTATTAGTTTGGCCAGCAGAGGGAATCCTTGATTACTCCAGCACAGGAATCCGCTCAGTTGTGCTCTAGTACTTGGGAAATCAGTTATTGGCTGAAAAGTGGAGTGTGTCTGGACTACAGGAATCAACTCTGCTCCAGACAAGAACTTTTACTTACCTTCTGTAGTCCTTTGTTTCTGTTGTAAATTTAATAATTTTGCATTCATTTCTCTAACGAGCCTTTTCTTTTTCTTCCTTTCAGAATCACAAGCCCAGAGTGGTAAGAATACTATTCTTAAAAAAGAGCAGAAACTCTTAAAAATAATGCAGCTAAATGCTACGAATCTATTTGTAATAAACACAAACAACTAGACAGGAAACACTCAGAAGGAGAGGAGATCACAGAGAACCCCTCATAAATAAAAACACACTGCAGGACAGGATACACAGGGGGAGAGAGAGGAGATTACAGAGAATCCCTCAGTAATAAACACACACAACAGGACAAGAGACACAGTCGGCCCAAAATACAGAGCAGCCAAGATCCTCTCCAGCTTCTTCCTGAAACTTTTCATGATATGTATTCAACAACACGGTAGGAAGGTACATCCAGCACACAAAAACTGTAGTGTAATTTCAACATAATCACCCAATTGCTAAGTTGTCTTTTCTGAATAAAGAAACAGCACAATCCACACTAACCAAGCTCCTCCTTCTCTCTAAGCTCCAGTTTGTGGACAGGCTGTCCTCAACACCAGGATCGTTGGGGGCCAGTCTGCCCAGCCAGGGTCATGGCCCTGGCAGGCCAGTCTGCGTCTGAATGGGGGTCACACATGTGGGGGGACCCTCATCAACAGCCAGTGGGTGCTGACTGCAGCGCACTGCTTTTCAGGGTAGGAGAAAAACAGGACCCCCTCTGTCAGTATGTACAGTGCCGACAGGAACTGCAGATTGTTATGACTGTGAAAACTGATGAGCTCTTAAAGTCATCAGTGTCAGAGTAAATCTGATGACTTAAAGTTCTGTGATTAGAATTGATAAATTATCTCTGTTTCTCTTTGTATACTTCCTGCACTGTGTATTCACAGTGGCTAGTCAGAAACTATTTGTGCCATCAGAAATACTTCAACTCTTCTCACATTCTCCACTCTTTCACTCTCCAGCTCCACGACTCCAAGTCAGTGGACAGTGTATCTGGGAGTGACAGACACGGGCTCTAGCACCAACACAGTGTCCAGGGGGGTCCAGCAGATCATCAAGCATCCAAACTATGACTCCTCAACCAACAACAATGACATCGCCCTGATGAAACTGAGCAGTTCTGTCTCCTTCAACAACTACATCCAGCCCGTCTGTCTGGCTAATACCAGCAGCACCTTCTACAATGGGACCAGCTGCTGGGTCACTGGCTGGGGGACCACTGTTGAAGGTGGTGAGTATCTTCGGCAAGAGCTGCTTATTCCACCTTTGAGGCTGGACTATTCCTTTAGCTTACTGAGATCAAGATCAACTTCAAATGGCCTTACAGAATGAGACATGGATCTCAAGTGTTGGATAGACCTGGGATGACTGGTGACTGATCACTGCTCCATTGTGACCAGTATAATCAGCACCAAGAGGGCAAAAGGGTTAGGTAGTAACAAACTGTCTTGTCTTCCAGGGACAACTCTACCCTCGACCCTGCAGGAGGTCCAGCTGCCCATCATTGGGAACAGGCAGTGTGGGTGTCTGAATGATGTGGTCTTTGGAGCGAACAGTGTCACTGGCAACATGATCTGTGCGGGAGTGCTGCAGGGGGGCAAGGACTCCTGCCAGGTAACTCTTTTTTTTCTGTATCTACATCATATATGTTACCATGCGGCCTGTGTTTGTATGACTGGCAGAGGAATCCATCTGCTGAGGTCCAGGTGACTGGTCAGGCTGCTGGGCTGTCAGGCGAGAGCTGGGGATGCGCTGGGCAGGCAGATGGACAGGTGGACAGAACAGGGAAGCTGTGCGATGCAGCCAGGCAGGTCTAGTTGGCTGCTAAGGATGCGTAGTGATCTGGCTGCCCAACAGGTTCCATCTTGATATCAGGATCGGGGAGGCTGGCTGATTCAGACAGAGTCTTTCATGCCTAAATGGCTGGTTCATATGAGGAGCACTTCCACTGGCACGTAGGCTCAATGACAGAATGTCTGACTGTAGACAGGGCAGGGTTTACGTATCCTGAAGCTGGCGAGGTAACTACCCGTTAAGTGGGGGCAGGATGTACAGACAACCTTCCCAGTCGAGATCTCACGACACCAGGAGGTGTTCAACTTTGTGTGAACACAGCCGGGTGCCAAGCAGACCGGAGACTGTGAGCTATGGCCCACTTCACTTTCTGGACGTCTATGTTGTCTTTTTTTCAGTTAGCGGACAGTACTGGGCTGTGTGTCAGTCAATTCCTGTTCTAACAGTCTTCTCTCTCTGCAGGGAGACTCAGGGGGTCCCCTGGTATGCAAGCAGGGCTCCGTCTGGGTTCAGGCTGGTGTTGTGAGTTTTGGAGAGGGCTGTGCCCGTCCCAGTCTCCCAGGGGTGTACACCAGGGTGTCCCAGTACCAGGACTGGATTAACGGACAAGTGGGGTCGGGAGACACAGGTTTTGTGACCTTTACCTCCAGTGGCACAGACGCCGACAGCAGCTTTACCTGTAGTCCTACAGTTACTACAAGAGCACCACTGACCACTCCTGTCACTCCATATGTCACTTACCCGACCCCTCCACCAGCTCCCATAGCACCAAATGGTAGGTAAATGTTCAGTTGAGTTCAGTGTATTTTCATCTCCACATGTGCAATGAGATGCTTATTTGCATGTATGCTCCCATACAGAGACATTAAGGAAACACCAAAAAAAACATAAACACAGTACAGAAGCAGTAACAACAAGTTAAATAACATACAACTTAAAAAAAAATGTTTGCCTTATTCTTCGATGAATGAATTATTTTTGGTATCATTTGGACTCATCAGGTCTTTCTTTCTGTCCTCTTCCTCCAGAGTGTGGGAAGGTGCCCCTCAATCCCAGGATCGTAGGGGGGAACCCTGCCCAGGAGGGGTCCTGGCCCTGGCAGGCCAGCCTGCATTACTATGGGCAACACATGTGTGGAGGATCCCTGATCAACCAGCAGTGGGTGCTGACGGCTGCACATTGCATCCCCGAGTACGTAGAAACAGGATTGTCGTCTCTGAACATCAACGTCTCTAGCTTCAAGCACCTTGATGTTGGCCTACCAGTATCCCCTTTAAAAAGTAAAACTCAAGTTTCTTTATACAATTCACAGGAAATGTTATGGTTTAGTGCTTTATATTATTATATTAAGGTAAAAATGGTGATTACCATTTTAAAAAACATGCTGCCAAAGATGGCTCAAACTTTTAGGCACTTCTTTAAATCTGGTTTCCCACACAAGTCTGACTTGAGTCGCACGGTAGTGAAGGTCAGCGTTCTTCTGCTCCAGAAAAACATGACATTTACACATTTTACTGCTCAGACCCTGAATTTGACACAGACTCTCCAGCACCTCTGAGCGCCTGACAGTGACAAGTCCTCTGCCCACAGAGGGAGAGGTAAAAACAGACTGACATGCTCAGTGCGCTCCTATTGGCTGTATACAAAAAATGCATCTACTGTATATATTGAGACATAAAGGAGAAAAATTCACTTCCTGAGTCTATTAGTCGCCCCCAGAGGGCCCTGGGGATGAGAAAATTAACCCTCTCGCTCTTCCCTGACAGCGGAGTGAAGATGTGTTGGTCCTCACACCAGTAAAATTAGAGGAGAATCAAAGGCTCATGTGGCTAATCGGGTGATCATGCCAGAGTCACGCCACGAGTCCTTAACTAAGGCGCACCCCTTCCTCAAATCTTTTACAGAGCCTAAATGCTCACCTAAGCCTTCTGATACGAAGATCCGACAATGGAGCAACTTCACACTGGCTCTCTAGCTCCATCAGAGATATATAGGACTTGGAGCTGGTGAAAAGGTGCAGTCTAAAACCCGCGCACTCTCACAATATTTACAGCACTCCAGCTAAGCTGAGCCAAGAGCCACGATTGGTCCAGATAGAATACTGCCATCGACCGATTAAAACACAGAAATGTTGACGATCAGACAGCATGACAGACTTTAGACATTGAGGAACTTATGTCCTCGTTCTCTCTCCAGCCCCCTGAACACCTATCCGTGGACAGTGTACCTGGGCCGGCTGACACAGTTTAGCTCCAGCCCCAATGAACTGTCCAGGTCGGTCCAGCAGATCATTGTGCATCCTGCCTACAACTCTGTCACCGAGGACAACGACATCGCCCTGATGAGACTGAGCAGCCCTGTCTCCTTCACCAGCTACATCCAGCCCATCTGTCTGGCTGACAACAGCAGCTCATTCTACAATGGGACCAGCTGCTGGGTCACTGGTTGGGGCTACACAGCTGAGGATGGTGAGTGGATCTCATTGGCATCGCGCTTCAAACACTCCTGCTTATAGGCGTGACTTTTCTATGAGCCTTATCTCAATGTGCCAACACAGATCACTCAATTTCAACCATATAAATATATACAGATGCAACAACTCAGAATGTGTGGCAAAGGTCTTCTCCACAGCAAGCTCACCACAGCATGCCACAGCATCATTCGGCACACCGAATGTAACTTTTCACTGCCTAGAGAAGACCACTGCCTAGGTGGCACCTGTGGTGCATTAGAAGTTAATGAACCAATGGCTTTATTTAATCTGTCTTACTACTGAACTTCTCTAAATCCACTTAATAAAAAAAATTAAATATGGAATCATGTAACTAAAGGGAAATTTCTGTAGCTAAAAGTAAAAACAACCAAAGTATAATAAAGTATAATAATGCCTCTGAACCTCATTAACTATATTTATAAATATAAATATAAGATACAGGAATAGCTGGGAGTGGTGGCTAAAAATAATAAAATAAGGTTCACAACAGTGTACCACCTACTTCATAAACATTCTCTGCATCAAAGACTTAAACTCAGTCACTTTCTGTAATTATTTTGGGAAAGTTCTGACATGCTTTTTTTATTCCAATTTACACAATTCATATTGCAGAGAACCACTTTCAAGCAAGGCAGCATAATATTAGTCTATATGCACCTATTATTATTAATAATAATAATAAAGCCTGGACACTCTACTCACAGCACTTTTCAGGTAATGGGGACTAACCTCCACCACCACCAATGTGTGGCCCCACCTAGATGAAACCACGGCAACCATAGTGCACCAGTACTCTTACCACAGCTCTTAGTGGGGAGGCGATTACAGTGATGAAGCCAGTTTGGAGATGGGGATTATGAGGAGGCCATGATTAGTAAAGGCCAGGGGGAAATTTGAGCAAGACACCACAGTAACACCCCTACTGTTCTTGAGAAATTCCCTGGGATTTTTAATGAAGGAACTTGGTTTTATGTCTCACCTGAAGGACAGTGCCTTTTTTCACTATACTGGGGCATCAGGACCCACACAGACTGTAGGGTGAGCGCCCCCTACTGATCCAACTAACACCTCTTCCAGCTGCAACCATAGCTTTCCCAGGAGTCTCCCATCCAGGTACTGGCCAGGTTCACACTGCTGAGCTTCAGTGAGTTGGCTGTAGTGAGTTTCAGGGTGATATAGCTGTCTAGAGTCAGTCAATGAAATCATGCTTCCCGGATGCAGATGTAACTTCCAGACACTTAATGATCTGTCCTGTCTTTCAGGAGCTACTCTACCCACAACCCTGCAGGAGGTCCAGCTGTCCATCATTGGGAACAGGCAGTGTGGGTGTCTGAACGATGTGGTCTTCGGAGTGAACAGTGTCACTGGCAACATGATCTGTGCAGGAGTGCTGCAGGGGGGCAAGGACTCCTGCCAGGTTAAGACACTTCTCATTGTTTTGTTGCTGTCCATATCCCTCTCAGTCAGAGCGCGAAAAGAGGTGCCCTTGCAATTCTCTTTTTCCATCTTTTGCACACCTACTGTTGAGTAAAATATGTTTCAGTCTACAAAAAAATGATTATGTTGTCCAAATAATAACTTGGGTCCTCGCATCTCTCTGTCTCTCTGCAGGGAGACTCAGGGGGTCCCCTGGTCTGTAAGCAGGGCTCTTCCTGGGTTCAGGCTGGTGTTGTGAGTTTCGGAGAGGGTTGTGCCCAGCCCAATTTCCCCGGTGTGTACACCAGAGTGTCCCAGTACAAAGATTGGATTAACACTCAGGTGGGATTGGCCACTCCAGGCTTCATGGCCTTCAGCTCCAACAGCACAGACCCTGACAGCAACTTTACCTGCACTCCATTCAAAATTACTCCAGTAGCTTCCAGTGGTAGGTGATAGTATGGTTAAATCAAATGCAAAGTAATCATTTACTTGTAATGAAAATTGTTTACAAATTTCAGACACTTAAGTTATATTTATCTATCTGTCCTGTGCCTCCAGAGTGTGGAAAAGCCCCTCTCAGTACCAGGATTGTGGGGGGTGTCTCTGCCCCAGAGGGGTACTGGCCCTGGCAGGTCCGCATATATTACTTTGGGTATTACAGATGTGGAGGATCCCTGATCAACCAGCAGTGGGTACTGACAGCTGCAACCTGTGTCTACTCAGCCTGGTAAGTCTGTTTGTAACCTCATTGGATTTTCATGCGGTTTCATCATGCTGTAGTACCGTACTGTAACTGAGGCAAACTGAATACAGTAATGGAGAAACAGAGCAATACGACCTTTCTCTCTACAGGGTCAGTGAACTGAAAGTGTACCTGGGCAGACAGACACAGGCGGGCCCCAACTCCCAGGAATTATCCAAGAAGGTTAAGCAGGTGCTTCTGCACCCTGACTATTCTAGTTCAAACAACGACATCGCCCTGCTTGAACTGCGCAGTCCTGTCACCTTCACCAACTACATCCAGCCCATCTGTCTGGCAGCCAACAGCAGCTCTTTCTACACTGGGACCAGCTGCTGGGTTGCTGGCTGGGGCTTCACAGCTGAATTCAGTGAGTTTATCCCCTCTAATCAGTCACACACACTGAAGAGGCTCAAGCATTGAGCTATGACAGCTTGCAAGCTGAAAAAGAACAATTTGAAGCAACCTGTAATTCCGCAATGAAAGGGAAAAAGAAAAATCAGCACTCTGGTTGAGTAGTCTCGTCATGTGTATAGGGTGCAGAGAGTAGGAGTATTGGACGAATAAACATGGGGCGAGGCAGGTGAATGTGAGACTGGGGAAGTGAAAAGGGGACAAAAGAGATGTTAGTCAGAATTGGGGTCTGCTAGTGAGGAAAGATCTCCTATCCTCACTACTGCAACACTTTCTCCAAAATGTGTCTTTTGTGGCTGTAAATGACAGAAATCGCTTTCTGCAAGGGAAGCAATAAATTGTATTGCGGGAACAAAAGAGATGTAAGTCAGAAATGGATTCCGGGGGAACTGTGGGAGGCAGAGATCTCCAGATGTTTTGAGAGATTAGAAAGAAAAAAATCGATTGTTGAGTACTTGGAGATTGGGAACCAGATTTGAGTCTTGTCTTGTCTTTGTGGTATTTTTTAAATCTCCGTGAAAGGACACAGACAGAAAGGTCAGTGTGATAATGGACTGAAGAGGAATTATAGGGAAAGATCTCCTATCCTCACTACTGCAACCGTTCTCCGAAATATGTCTTTTTCTGATGTTCCGATTTTGCAGATGTAAATGACAAGAGAAGCAATAAATTGTATTGCTGGACGAGCACAATACCCTCTGGGTCTAGATGTGTAACAATGTGTGTTTACAGGCTTCTGTTGTAGCACACAGATGTGCTATGGGCAATTAAGAGATTTGGATCTGGTGGATCAGGTGGTCAGCAACATTAGATCTTTGTGTATACTGTACCCTTTTGTTAAAACAGAAAAGGCTTAAGGGTGATAAGGAATGAGCAAAAACTCAGTGGCCCCTTTGGTCCAAGCTCTTCACATACCTTTGGGGTCACTGACAACAATGTTCTTAGTGGGTGGACAATGATAGGCTGAGTATAGTGGCGATGACTAGGAGATCCTGCTATGAAGGATACCAAACCTGGATTTCAGCCACCAACTGGGTACAAAATCTGTCAACCTCTTTTCCAGTGTCTCTGCCAGGGAACCAGACCCTGCAGGAGGTGCAGCTGCCCATCATTGGGAACAGGCAGTGTGGGTGTCTTTATGATTTGAACTACGGACCAGGCTCGGTCAATGACAGCATGATCTGTGCTGGACAGCCGAATGGAGGCAAGGATACCTGCTGGGTACAGACACTCCTTCTGCATATATTGCCAGGTTCATTTTTGTTCAATTCACAACATTGTCAAGAAATGCTGATTTCTTCAGACTCTCCCAATGCTTATTAGATGTTTTTCTCTCTATGCAGCCTATTGTATTAGCCCCCCTCTCTCTCAGTACAGTTTTAATGTATTGTAGGGTCCAGTTAGTCAGTGTATACTTACTCCCTCCTTCACTATCCTTGCCTCTAGGGAGATGAAGGGGGACCCCTGATCTGTAAGCAGGGCTCTTCCTGGGTGCAGGCTGGTATTGTGAGGCCAGGAGAGGGCTGTGGCCAGACTGACCTTCCTGGATTGTATACCAGGGTGTCGCAGTATGAAGACTGGATTTATCAGATGGTTGGGATGGCCACTCCAGGCTTTGTCACCTTCAGTTCCAATGGCTCAGATCCTGGGAGGAACTTCACTTGTAGTCCACCAAGCAGTACCCCAATATCTTCAAGCGGTAAGTGATATTTTACCTCAATCATCAGGCAGCAGAGAAGTTTACTATCATACAGCCTTTCAATAGATCATCCTTCACATCTTCCTCTGTCTCCCTGCTGTCGATCCAGAGTGTGGGCAGGCACCTCTCCGTACCAGAATTGCAGGGGGCCAATCTGCCCAGGAGGGGTACTGGCCATGGCAGGCCAGTCTGCATTACTCTGGGTACTATATGTGTGGTGGGTCTCTGATCAACCACCAGTGGGTGCTGTCTGCTGCAGGCTGTGTCTACAGGTAACTGGATCTGTTTAACCATTTTCCTGGTTTTTCTCTTTTTAGATACTTTCACTCCAGTCTTCTGAAAGTGTATTTGAGTAACAGAGTGGAGTTCAGACATAACAGTGATAATGATCTCTCCCTCTCTCAGGATCAGTGATAACAGACAGTTGACAGTTTATCTGGGCAGGCAGAACCAGATGAATTCTAACCCCAACGAAGTGTCTAGGAGGATCACACGGGTCATTCCGCACCCTGACTTCAACTCTACAACCTTCACGAATGACATTGCCCTGCTGAGACTGCAAACCCCTGTCAACTTCACCAACTATATCCAGCCCATCTGTTTGGCTGACAACAGCAGCTCTTTCAGCACTGGCACCAGCTGTTGGGTCACTGGCTGGGGCAACACAGATGACTATAGTGAGTATCCTTAATATTTAAAGAACAATTCATAGCGACTTTACTGTTCAAAAACTGAAATACCGAAGGTTGTTCAGTGTAAGATGCACATATGAGCCTGCTTCACAGGTCAAAGATTATACTGTCACGATATTAGTTCCCCCTCCTTAAGGGTGCTCCAGCCCTATCACTCAAGACTTTATTCTATGCACCTGCTCCCTATTCCCAGCCCACCTTAAAAGCCAGGCGCTGACGCTCTTCCGGGCTCTGCATCTGATTTCCATATCGTGCGAGTCCGGGACCTGGAAGCGCCTGGTCCCGTTAAGGTTTTAACCTTGGTTCCCGTTCCTGTTCCCCGTCCGCCGGTTCCGACCCGGCCTTCGTGGTTTTTTAATTCTTGCTCTGATGGATCTTCTGGTTTTGGACTTACCCTGGTGTTTTGGATATTCCCAAAGGACTACTCTCTCGGATTGTTCGCCTCGGCCACACCTCCCCCGTGCACCAGCGCACCTTGGACACACCCCCCTGTCTTCAGCCCCGTTTTCCTGCATGACGTTTCCCTAGTGTTTCCCCACTCCATCGGACTGTGTCGTCCGCATTGGGTCCGGAAAGAACTGTTCGTTACAATACTGCCCTGATGACCAATAATAATACAGGAAACAGCAGTCTATGGCTGCTAACTTATACAAAGCAGATGTTCTTCTTTGTAGAAATGGCAAGTTCATATTAATTCCCAGAACTTACAAATATATTATAAACAACACTTTCATATTAATATCTTAAGATATTAAACAATACTAGGTCATTTCAAAGAACTGTTCCCTAATGAGTGGGAAGCAGTTCTTACAATAAGAAGCAATCGGAGTCTTGAGGATGGATCCAGATTCAGACAAGGGTAAGCGGTCAGTCAGGCGAGAAGTGCAAAGCAGGTGAAAGTAAAACATGGTCCAGAGTCATAATCAGAAGGAAGGCACCAGGTTGAGACCAGAAAACACAGGCAAAAGAACCGCAGGGAGAATCACAGGAAAAAACCAGAAAGTCCACACAAGGTAAACACCACAGACAAGCAAAGGATAACTATAGCTGTGCCTCAGAGCACGAGATTATTGTAACTAGCCCTAAACTGAATGTGAGCAGATGGGATGGATCTTCTTCCACATCAGGTGGTCAATGGCTAATCAGGGAATCCACCTGTGGGATAAGGGCTCCTGGTGAAATGCAGAGACCTTTAGTGTGAGCAGGTTTGACAATGACAGGAAGGTTTTTTTTAATAGTTTTATTATGGTCTTTACATTTGTTATTGTTGTCATTATTGTGAAGCTTCAACACACCTTCACTACAATTTACTTCCGTGAACCATACAGTCACCCTGCAGTAAATATTCATAATAAACATCCATTTGTCACGGTATTCCCATGGTCCAGTGTAGTGAAGCACGGGAAATCATTTTCAAACCACCCCTCTCTACCCCGCATCATGGCTAATATCTCAACATCCTGTGGTATATTTACAAAGATAAACTTAGGTAATGGTCTCCTGGAAGTAAATGACAGCTCCCTGTGGTAGGGACCTGTTGGGGTGGGTGTGGCAAAATTACCTGGAGGGAGGTCTACCTGGGGGGTAAGCAATGACTTAATGACTAATTTGAGCCATAAACTGGGATCACGGCAGAGAGAGAAAGCTGACGATGACTTGACTTGTCTTGTCTTTCAGGTTTTTATGCCCAGATTCTACAGGAGGCCCAGGTGCCCATCATGGGAAACAGACAGTGTGGGTGTCTGTATGCTGAGGCCTTTGGAGTAAACAGTATCACTGAAAACATGATCTGTGGAGGAGTACCGGATGGGGGGAATGCCACATGTCTGGTACACACACTTCTCTTCTTTTATTTGTCTCCTCAACTCTCCTTCTCTTCGACCGCTTAGTGCCTCATATTTCATATCGTCAGATCAATTTTGAAATGGTTTACCCTCTGCGATGAGTGTAAATGTTCTCCTTAAGTTCACCTTGGTGCTTGCCAGATGCTCTGCTTTCCTGACAACTTCCACAAACATGTAAGCTAGGTTAAAGGTTAACTGGATAAATTGTCTCTCTGAGCATGTCTGGTGCACACATGGACTGCCTTCTGGAATGTTTCTGGAAAATACATAGGGTTGCAATGACTGTTAATAATGTAATGGATGGCTACATCTCACTCTCACTTGGAATCAGGACAATAAGGTAATAATAATAATAATAATAATAATAATAATCCTTTAGCATGTTGTCTGTATCAGTGTCTGGAACCCCCCTCTCTCAGTGCATTGTTAAGGTACTGTAGTGTCCAGTAAGTGTCTGTATTAACCACCACACCTCTCCTCTCTCTCCAGGGAGACTCAGGAGGTCCCCTAGTCTGCAAACAGGGCTCTGCCTGGATTCAGGCTGGTGTTGTGAAATACAGAGATGGCTGTACTCCTTCCAGTCTCCCTGGTGTGTATACCAGGGTGTCCCAGTACCAAGACTGGATTAATGAGCTGGTTTGGTCAGCCACTCCAGGACTGCTTACCTTCACTTCAAATGGCACCGACACTGATAGCAATTTTACTTGTAGCGCACTGGGCACAACTCCAGTTACGCCAAGTGGTAAGTAAATTAAGGAAAAAGAGAAGTATGATTTTTATTCAGATCTTTCAAAGTTCATTTCTTCCTATATATCTTCTTTGGCCTGTTCCTCCAGAGTGTGGAAAGGCGCCCCTCAGTCCCAGGATTGTGGGGGGTGACTCCGCCCCAGAGGGGTACTGGCCCTGGCAGGCCAGCCTACATCATTATGGCCAACACATATGTGGAGGGTCCCTGATCAACCACCAGTGGGTGCTGACAGCTGCACACTGTGTCAATGGGTAAATAAACCAATTAAACTTTGTTCCAGTCTTTTGACAGTTGGAGTTAAAGTGTGATCTGGAGGTGGAAGTATATTGATCTGAAGAGATATAATTTAGGATAAGTGTATTTGAGTAACAGGAGTGACTTTAGACAGAGTTGTACTAATGACCTCTCGCTCTCTCCAGGATCTCTGACGGACGTCAGCTGACAGTGTATCTGGGCAGGCAATCACAACTTGGATCAAACACTCATGAAGTGTCCAGAATGGTCACAATGGTCATCCCGCACCCCGGGTATTTGAATTTCGACAAAGACGTTGCCCTACTTAGACTTAACAAGCCTGTTTCCTTTACTGCCTACATCCAGCCCATCTGTCTGGCAAGCAATATCAGTTCCTTCCAAAATGGCACCCAGTGTTGGGTCACTGGCTGGGGCAACATAGCTGAGGGAGGTGAGCGTGCTCTATTGACATAAATCCCTTGTTGAAGAGAAGGCAATGGGTAGGAATGGGGCCTGCTTTATTTGTTAAGCATAGTTGGCAGTTTCCACTGAGGAGACATTGGCGGTGGTGTCTGAGAGAACTTCTGAAAAGGGAGAACTACAGGTCTAAATGATGAACTTAAGCTTCCATGCAGGCCCACTGTCTGAGAGATGACAATCTGTCTTGTTTTTCAGTGTTTCTGACGGGCAACCAAGCCCTACAGGAGGTCCAGCTGTCCATCATTGGGAACAGACAGTGTACCTGTCTTTATAACATGATCCCTGTACCAGACCTCATCACTGACAACATGATCTGTGCTGGAGATCTGGAGGGAGGGAAGGGCTCCTGCCAGGTAAAATTTCTTTTCATTTTCTTGCGCTCTTTCTCACCCTCCATCTTTTCCCGTTGCACACTTGGTGTCTGGAAGTTTCATTCAGGGAGTCTTCAGAAATAAATCCATACAGAAACACATTAGGAAACATACTGAATTGAAATACCAGGCAAAACATTACTCAAAGAATTAAATTGTCTAAAAATCACTGGGAATACCACAACAGTAGAAAATGATTAAAAGGGTAGCACCCACAAACGTTTTTTCTTTTTATTGTAAGTGCAAATGTGCTTTGCTGTTCAGCCTTCTTCAGAGTGTTAATATAAGAAAGATATTCTTGCCTCCACATTCTTCTTTGAAATTGTCTGCCTGTTCTGATGAGTTATAATTACAATTACAGAACACAAGGTGGTGGTACACCTACTTAACGAGTCACCACTGAAGTGTCTTTTCTACTGAAGAAAGGGAAGTCATTGTCTCATTAAGAGCAAAATTGATAGAACACAGACTGTGTGTTAGACTAGGTCACAACAGGCTCTTTGCAGCAAATATATCTTAGTGTAAATTATAAATCTTAGACACAAACATTACCACACTCATTGCTCGAGTTTTATCATCCCAGTGAAAAACAGTTCAAAAGATGTAGTTACTCATAATTTCATCACAAATTAGCACATCAAAAAGTGAATTAAGTAACACAAAGAAACACAAGTCAGAAATGTTTCCAGACAGTCAATGTCCTCTGTCACGATCGCATTCTTTCATACCATCTACGGACCTAATATACAGTAAAGGGCTATCAGGTAATGCTTCTGTATTATCTCTCTCTGCAGGGAGACTCAGGGGGACCCCTGGTATGTAAGCAGGGCTCAAGCTGGGTTCAGGCTGGTGTTGTGAGTTTTGCAGTGGGCTGTGCCCGTCCCAGTTTCCCTTCAGTGTTCGCCAGGGTGTCCCGGTTTCAGGACTGGATCAATGAACAGGTGGGGTCTGCCACTCCAGGTCTTCTGACCTTCTCCTCCAATAGCACAGACCCTGACAGCAATGTAACCTGCAGTTCATTGAATCCAGATCCCACTCCTGTGCCTTCTCCAATTTCACCTGGTGGTAGGTGCCATTTTATTTCACTCTGCTACTCAAGTTTGGTTTCGGTCAACAGACCCTTTTTAACATTCTCTCTCTATCCTATTCATGCAGAGTGTGGGCAAGCACGCCTTAATCCAAGGATCGTAGGGGGTGACTCTGCACCAGAGGGGTACTGGCCCTGGCAGGCAAGCCTGCAATATTATGGGTACCATTTCTGTGGAGGGTCCCTGATCAACAATCAGTGGGTGCTGACAGCCGCACACTGCACATACTGGTAATTAAACCCGTTTAACCCTCTTTTTTATCTTGGTGGTTTAAAAATAGGTCTGTAAAACATGCTGTATGAATGCTCTGCAGCATAATGAATGAAGAATTCTGTGCTGTGACTGAGCACAGCTGACTGATGACATTTCTAATTCCAGGATTAGCTCCATGATGGTGCAGGTGTATCTGGGCAAGGAAAGTCAGGAGGGCTCTAACCCCCACCAAGTGTCCAGAGGAGTTGAAAGGATCATCTTGCATCCCAACTTTGATTATATGACTTTAAACAATGACATTGCCCTACTGAAACTGAGCAGCCCTGTCACATTCACAGACTACATTCAGCCCATCTGTCTGGCAGCTAACAGCAGCTCCTTCCACACTGGGACCAGCTGCTGGGTCACTGGCTGGGGAAACATAGCTGATGGTGGTGAGTGTATAACACTGATGTTTACTGCTTTGCTAAACCAGACGCTACTTGAGGGATTTCAGGGATACAATAACAGGAAGGCTAATGGTGACAATATCTTGATCTAAAGCACCAATCCCACAATGTCATTCCTGCACCCATCTGCCTGCCTGAAACAATAGTCTTCTATGACCTCTGTCCACCATTACAAAGCACATCTCTGGTCATCCTTTGGTCCTCTCTGCCAACCTCTAGAACACACCAGGCTCCTGCAATTGGACTCCCAGCCTGTAAGACATGGCTGTTAGCTACCAATAACATGTTAATGGTGGATCTTAGATCTTATTATCTGTCTTGTCTTCCAGTAAGTCTGCCAAATAACAAGACCCTACAAGAAGTTCAACTGCCCATCATTGGAAAGAGTCAGTGTGGTTGTATAAGTAACTTGACCTTTGGTGTGAACTTCATCACTGACAACATGATCTGTGCTGGAGTGCTGGATAACAGGAAGAGCCCCTGCAATGTATGAAGACTTTGTCTTTTTCTCATCTTTATCCTCCAATACTCTCTTCTTGTCTCAGACTGAGCAGAGTGTTAAGAAACTTTGAGAATGTTTTCTATAATTATATCTATAACAACTTTCCCTTATCTCTCTGTTTCCAGGGAGACTCAGGGGGGCCCCTGGTCTGTAAGCAGGGCTCCGCCTGGGTCCAGGCCGGTATTGTGAGTTTTGGTTATGGCTGTGCCCGGCCCAATGTCCCAGGAGTGTACACCAGGATGTCCCAGTACCAGGACTGGATCAACAGGCAGGTGGAGATGGCCACTCCAGGATTTGTCCATTTTGATTCCAATGGCATGGATCCTGACAGCAGTTTTACTTGCCCTTCAACAGCTGGTGCACTTGCAAGTGAGTAAAAGCCAGGATATGTCTCAGAAGAACATGACAGAGACCAGAATGAAAGATGTTCATGTAAATATTTTTATCCATCAACACTGATGGCCTCTAAAAATAATCACTAGGAAGTCAAAGCAAGGTATTCTGGAATATGAAGTAATATTAGTGTTATACCCATTCACAGCAACATTTACTTTCTTCTCAAAAGTGTCTCAGTCTCTACAGCACATTTATTGTGAAAGCCCTCCATTCCCCTGTGAAATTCCTCAGGCCAATGAAAAATAATTAAGAGCTCAGGACTGACTATATTATTCAGTGACAGTAAAGTGAGAAGGGCAAACTGAAAGGGGAATCCCCAGAACACAAGGAGAATTAGGAACAACATTCTGGGAAATAGACCTTACTGCACTCTGTTGCAGTTGTGAGGTATCTGCAATTATTCAATTACACCTAACATTGATAGTTATGATTGTAACATTACTGGATTTGCAGCATTCCAGAGAGACAGGAAAGCAGAAGAGGAGAAAGTGTAGCACCATATATCTGAAAGAGCATTCAGGGTCACAAACGTAGCTTGGAGGAATTGAGGGTCTTGGAATGTATTTGATCTAAAAAAAACATTAAACTGGCACTGAGCATGGTACAGACCACTAAATTCTAATGCATACCTTATCAAATACAATGGAATCAGGGACATACAGTATGTGTAAAAGAAAAAAATGGTCCTCATGGGAGATTAAAAATGTCCTCACAAAGATCAGTAAAAACCATGAGGGATATAAGCAGCTGAAACTAAATGGCAGGCATAGCTGTCATCCACGTCCTTACTCAGTGTGTCAGAGCATCTGCAACAAGACATTCCCATAATGATCTTGAGTTTTTGAGCAATCAAAGTCAGGAAAATCTAGGTATAAGAACTGTTGGGGAGCTGAATTCAAAGTAAACAGGGCTCCAGACTGCAACTGAAATGGTTGCAAATAGGACAAAAAATAAAAATTTGCGACAATAATTTAAAATCTAGTCGCCATTAGCGACAAACACCAAAACTTTTTTTGTGTGTTTTTTGTGTTGATATGTGGTCAAATTTCATCTGGCATTACTTAATTACATATTTACATTACTTCACCACAGCACACGGCAGTGACTGCTGGTTAAAAGCTAGGAAGCTAAGTAGCTACACACTAGAACAAACGTTCCACATGCGAGCTGACCTGCTAACGATGGCGAAGCGTAAAATTACAGACTTTTTACAAGAGTCTGATTCATCCGTCAACAGGTCTGTACAGTATTTCAGAACTTCGGGGCTTCAGGAATTTGCTTGGTTTAGGTATAATAAGTTAAACAAATGATGTATTGTTTTGTTCTTTTGTTCTAAAGCTGGTCAGGAAGTGGTTTTTCACAGGGATGAATCATTTAAAAAAAGAAAACATTAAATAAAACATGGAGAGAGTCAAAAGCAAAAGCTCATGATTGTGTAATTACGAAGTGTGCCCCAAGGCAGACACCTTTAGACTGGACTGTGTCTCATGCCTGTGAAAAACCAGCCAAGAAAAATGTAATGCAATTTAATTTAATGATTGCATGCAAAAATTACCGTTCACAAAATATGCCTCCCAAATCTTGCAAATGAAGAAGAACAGAATGGATGTATCAAAGATGTTTGACAATGACACCTCATGTGTGGAGTTTATTGGGTGTATTGCAGACGAACTATTTTGATTCTGTAATTTGGCAATTTAAAAAAGTCATTTGGCTCCTAAATGTTTCATTTTAGGAGCCAGTGGTTCCCAAGTAATTTTTTTTAGTCTGGAGCCCTGAAAGGTAAATGTCTATAAATGTTGTATTGATTGTACATGCTTTGACAATGCTGCGATTAATCTCTTATGGCACTTTAATATCTGATACACCGCCAGTATGAATGCTGATGCAATAACTTGATATTTTTCCATATGTTGGGGACTCAAGAGATCGTGAATGCAAATATTTTACATACTGTGATTATTTTTTTAAAAGTTATACACATACATAGTATACATATTATTTATTATATTTCATGATTAGAAGAAGTTTATTTGGTCAAGATTTTAATTATAAATATATTAGACATAGTGACTTTAAAAACATATCATACTTAAAAGCAAACTGACAAGTTCTGTTAAATAAAAGAGGCCAGATTAAAATAAAAGCTTTGAGTCACTTGAAAGACCTTGTTGCATTCTGTAAATTGCATTAGTAACTAGGAGATGAGCACCTTCACTCAAGATGGTACTGTAGTTAGATCCCTGCTGCAACCCTGCAGTAGACCCAACCTGTAAATACATGCCAGTGACACAAACCGTTAAGCTGCCAAAGCTAGGCAGGACCTGCAGGATGACACCACAGCCAGACAGGGAGTCATGACATAGATGCCAGGAAATTGCCCTGTGGGTTTTATTGGAATAGGAGCTCCTAAGCTAATGAAGCATTTGTGAAGACCCGTATTGGCTAAGTGTCACATATAAAACTGAAAATAACATTTTTACTAAAGTTTTAAAGACAATTAGTTTAATTTTCAATTACATCAAAGAGGTATCAAAAAGAAAATAAACATGGTTGCAAACTGCTTGTATACGTTGTATAGCTTGTGTTACAGCATAAAAAGCTTTAAAGAACTGTTAGGGTGCTTAATTCAAAGTATAGGATATCTCTAAACCATATTTTGAAACTGTACAGGTCAAATCATAACCAAAAGTTTAAAATGTCAGGACTGTAGACTGTGAAGGAATGAGATGGAGATTAAGAAAGGCAGAATGGGAGAAGAATCTGTTGAGAATATGTGCTTAGAGCACAGAATACATTCATCCCAGGAGTAAGTGAATCCAAGGCTATAAAACAGCAAACAGATTGAAATGCGTGAACAATCTTCTTTCTTTCTTTCAAGAAATGGCTGGATAAGCACCCCGGATCATTGAGCCACTAAAAAACGAATTCTACTAGACCAGGGGTCTCAAATTCAAATGAATATGGGGGCTGCATTAGATAAAATGCATTAATCGGCAGGCTGCATTCACACACAAAATGCATCAAATACTAAAAAAAAAATTAACTGAAACTTAAATTTTTATTTGAAACATGTTGGTTAACTTTACTCAATATACTCGAGATCATGTGAGGTTATTTCTGACGTTCTTCATTCTGGCTATTTTGTTGACAGCGTTTTGCAGAAACCAGAACGTAAACATTAGGCCCGATATCACGTGAAGTAGCCAATCGCAATGTTGCTCGCATATGTTCATTGGTGAGTCTTGAGCATAAAACTGATTTGTTGATCTTCATTAATGGGAAAAACTGTTTGCATCCATACGTATTGGCAAACATTGCTATGATTCTAGCAGACGCAGAGACTAACATCGGAAACCTTTTCTCGTGAAATCTCGTGAAACAATTCTGCACTGCAGTTCCACTAACTCCATCTGGAATTCCTCTAAAACACTATGGACTTCCACAGCAAAAGGAGTGGCAAAGAGTTTTAATATGGTTCAAGAACCTTAAACTCTTTAAAACGTTGCTCAAAATCTTGACGTAGGTTATAAATGACATCTGCATATTCTTTTAAGAACCTGGTTCGACCATTTCTAGTGACTGCAGGGCTGAAAAATGAGCCATGTTGTCATCTGTAAGTTGTTTTGCCCTCAAAGAAAGCTTAAATTTGAATGACTTGACACTGTCATACATCTGTGTAATCACCTGCTTTGTACCCTGGAGCTTCACGTCTAGTGCATTCAGGTGCTCTGTGACATTTGTCAGAAAAGCCAAATGAGATATAAAAGTTGGATCAGCAAGATGAGGAACATCTTTGTTTTTCATTGACATGAACAACACTATCTCCTTTCTTAGAACAAAAAACCTTAAGCACATTTTCCTGGCTCAGCCATCTAACTTCAGTATGATACAGCAACTCTCCATATTCACTATCTATGCTGGATAGAAAAAAACTAAGCTGCCTGTGATTGTGACGCCTTGACTGTATAAAATTAACTGTCTTAACAATAACGGCCAGAACTTCCTTCATTTGTAGACTTTCACTACAGAGTGCTTCCTGGTGCGAAATACAATGTATAGTGAAGTGAAGGTGTGAAGGTGCCCAACACACCGAGGTTGATAAATTTTGCTTTCAGTTAACCCACAACACGAACGTTTTCAGAAGACATTCCAGGTACACCGTCCGTCGTCACTGACGTGAGTTTATCCCATTGCAGTCTCGAGTTTTCGATGCATGCTTCCAGTTGTGCCTTTCAGAGGTAGTAAACCTAATAATTCTTCTGTCACGTTCAGGTTGCTGTCGACCCCTCGAATGAATACCGCACAGAATACATTATCTGTTACACCTGTACTCTCGTCAAGTGCAATTGAAAATGCTTCGAAATCTTTAGCGACTACAACCAGTTGCTGATATACATTAGTGGCTAATTCAATAATTTTGCTGGCAACTGTATTTGCAGACAACCTTTATGCCTTCAAATCCCTTTATAAAGCAATCTTTTATGAATTGGCCTTCTGTGAATGGTTGCTATCATTTCACTGATGATGAAGCTTGCTCTTATGGAATCTTCACTTGATTTGTTAATATTTGTGAAAACGTTTCGTTGTTGTGCAAGAGCTGCTTTGAGTTGCTGAATGTTTTAATTTAGCATTTTGCCAGTTATCTCTTTATACTGTTCTCGATGCATCCTGTCGTAATCTGCATACATTATACTCCTTTAGCACCGAAATAGATTGCAGACAAATGAGACACTGGATTTTATCCTTCATCTCTGTGACAAAATATAATTTTTTCCCCACTTATCTTGGAAAATTCGTTTTTCTTCTGCAATCGTTCTTTTTCTCGATGATGATGACATTATTGATGGTTAATAAAAGCATAAATATACTACCTACTGTTAGACAGTAAAATATTTTAGTAGCCCTAACTAAGTAGCTAGCACGTACGAACTAGAATTGTATTTACATACTAACTAGAACTGTTACTTAGGTAACAAATGGTAACATCACCGGAAATAAAAATAATAGCGGCATAAAAAATAAGAAAAATAAGTAACATCTGATGAAATGCAGCGGACTGGAGATGGGAGGCTGAATCCAACTGAGAACACTGAGGGTGATGTGTGAGAGATTCCAAAGCTGAAGCTAAGGTCTAAAGCCGGTGGTTTCACTGCTCCACCTATTATTGACTCTTCTCTCTCAATACATCATTAAGCTCAAGTTTGCGGGAGACCCAGACTCAACCCACTACTCACTGGGGGTCAGTATGCCCAGGAGGAGTACTGGCCCTGGATGGTCAGCCTGCATCAGAACGGGAATTATGTGTGTGGAGGGACCCTCATTGCCAGCGACTGGGTGATGACAGCTGCACAGTGCTTACCCAGGTAGAACCAGATCCTTTTCAAATTCAGGTCATTTCATCATTCCACGCCTCACTGCCCATTGTGAACATGTGAGCCTCTTATCCTGATTGGAGGATCTCCTCCTGCTGTATCTTAAATGTGGTCTTCTCTTGGCTGGATAGCTTATTCCAAACTCTCAAAACCTTTTCAGTAAAGAAGTGCCTCCTGTTCTCAGTGCGCTTTCCCCAGTAGTTTTGTACTTATGTCCTCTGGTTAAAGTTTCACTGCTGAATAGCATATTGCCTTAAAAATTATGTTAGACTAATGATTGGTTATGATTTTAGATATTGTAACTTTAAGTTCAGACTTGAACAGATCTGACAATCTTGACTTGACAAATGACTTATATATTGCCTTGATATGATGTTAGAAAAGCACTAATGATTGGTTATGATTTTGGATATTGTAACTCAGTTTAAACTTTAACAGATCTGACAATCTCCCTGAGGTTCACTATTTGAATTGATGTCAACCATGTGTACATTAACCTTCCTCTCTTATTCTCTATCCTTCTACTGTCTCTCCAGCTCAGTCGATGTCAGTGAATGGAGTGTGGGTCTGGGACTGACGGTCCACAACATCTCATATGGCTTCAAAGGATCGGTGAGGGTTCTGGATGTTACCACCAGCAGCCTCAGTGGCTCCAACATCGCCCTCCTGAGACTGGATACAAACGTTTCCTACACTGGCTTCATCCTGCCCATCTGCCTGGCAGGGGCAAGTGTCTCCTTCCCCACTGGCACCGAATGCTGGGTTACCAGCTGGGACAAAGTGTGGGGTACGTGAATGAATGAAATTTAACCTTGAGGGTTAAGAAGAAGGTTGCAAGTTGCCCAGTGCTGACTGTTGTATCCCAGACATAGGTGTCTCACACTGACTGACCACGGCCAGTGGTGCAACCAGTAGGAATGGTCATGGGGGGAACTAGCAATATTTTACGCTACAAAGGATCAGTGTCCCATTTTGAGATAAGAAAAGTCCCAGTAGCCACTAAAATCCTATGTCCATATTGTTTTTTCCAGAAAATCTGGTTCTGAAAGAAGTGAAAATGAAGATCACTCCTTGTGAGAATGTGTCCTCCGCTGACAGCATCTGCACAGAGCCACTGAACCTGGAGCAGGTAAGAAATCAATGAATCATGAACTGTCCATATGCTCAACCTGTATCTGTCTCTTTCTCACATTCTGTTTTGCTCTTCCTGCAGAGAGACTCGGGCAGTCCTTTGGTCTGTAAGCAGGGTTCTGTCTGGATTCAGGCCAGTATCATTGATGTTAACCAGACAGCCATCACTGGCAACCGCAGTAGCACCGCTGTACGTGCCCTCAGCCCAGGGGTGTTCACCAGGGTATCTCGGTATGAAAGCTTCCTGAGGAGTGTTTTGGGCTCCAACCTGCCCCTCATAAACAACACCACTGTTACTCCAACCACAACAGCACCAGTATCCATTGCTTCCTCTACTACAACAACTACTGCAGCCCCCCGTGAGTACAATACCAGATATTTCGACAAGAATGTAATAAGACCCAAATTAGCCCTTTGGCTCACCTGCGCTTCTTTCATTTCTCCTGTTTTTCCTTTCTATCATCACTATAGATCGAACATCAAATTCCAGAATTTTGAGGAAAATTAACTTAGCCAATCTATAGCTAAGGCAGATCTCAAGTCCCCGTGGTTTTCTAGCCATGGGTCTCACAGGGATCACCAACAGGGTTGAACTGTAACGCTAATGGCAGCACCTAATGTCTTGCCAATCTTTGCTTCAAAGATTGAAAAGATGCCACAGGGTCATCACACTCAGAACGTTCATAAGTAATGTTGTCAGTCTGATGACTCTCTAAAATCAGTGAAAATTAATGATTAAAGAACTCATTATTTTATATTTTTGATGGCGAAGGATGATAGGACTTCATTCGATGCTGTTTTCAATTTCCAAACTTTGAACCAACAACCAGCCTCTCACATAACTCCAATGCTTCTTTCTACCACTAAGTGATGATCAGGAAATGATCAGGACTTGCAAAGATTTGATATGCAGATTTTTTCCAGGCCCAGGCACCACAAGGTGTGCAGTCTCAAAAGATACCATCCATCACTCCTGATGGCAAGTTGTAGTGCTACAGAGGATATCCTGCATATTCTGTTGTAAAGAGGCCTGTGCAATTAAACTCAATGAAATGGCTGACACGTCACAGAATAAACAAAAGATAACAGAGGAAATGTGCTGAAACAACTGTAAATTTGGTTCAACATGCTATGCAAGAGACAAGATGTCAGAAATATGTGCCTAGTCTAGAGGAACCCAAATCCAGTCCTCAAGAAACGCTGTTCAGCAGGTTTTATAGTTTTCTTTTAATTTCTATCTTATACAGAACATGAAAAGACTTCAGCACGTCAAACTAAGAAAATAATTTCAATTCAGTTCAATTAGGTAATTAGAGGTGGAAGGAAAACCAGAGACTGGAGTTTTGCCCTCTGGTCTGGTCCCTCTAGAGTTGACTGCTGTGTCTTCGTGTCTTGCAGTAAATATCTGTGGGAGACCCAAAATAAACACGCCTCTCCTTGGGGGTCAGCCAGCTTTAGAGGGGTCCTGGCCCTGGATGGTCAGCCTGCACCAGAATGGCAGACATGCGTGTGGAGGAACCATCATCGCCAGCAACTGGGTATTGACAGCTGCACAGTGCTTACCCAGGTAAAGACAACAAGAATCTAACCAGCCCCTGGTGTTGAAACAGTGCTTCTTCACGGGCTGCTGATGAAACCACAGTATGAATTAGTCATTAGTCACAATAACATGGATGTCCTTCCCCAACCAAAACCTGGTGCTGATCTAGAAGTGACCACAGATATTAGCACTCGAGTCAATGCAGGAATGGCACTGGGAAAAGGTGACACAGAGCCAGATGTACAATGCAGAAGTCCGTATCCGATGGAGGGCTCTCTTTAACAAAAGCCTTTCTGACTGAGGTCAGCTCATCTGGTTGTACAAGTCTCCAGACAGTATGGCGGCATCTTAGCCAAATGGGGATCACCGCTTTGTCTTTTCTCAATGTAAAAACAATGGTGCTCTGAAATGAACCCTTTTTTAAAAAAAGTATGCATCATTTCAAGCAGGAGAACTTATTGCAGGAATATCTGCAAAGGGCTGGAAGAGCTTCTTAGTTACAGTGATTTGTGGCTGGGCAGTGGGCATTAATGTAACTGCATAGAGAGAAATGGAACAAACTAATTTGTTGATAATATTACTATTTGGTAGCCTTCACGAACAAATCAGCCAGAATAGCTGGCTCTTAGAAACATCATTCAGATTCTTTTTCACATGGAGAGAAGCGAAATGATAATTTTGTCTTAGAATTCTTGGACAGCATATTTACAACAAAATCAGATATTTCAACTATGAATTAACATCTCCTCAGTATACAAGACACATAATCTTTTATTGACTAGGTAAACTTGATTGTACACAGAGTAACACTGATTTCAAGTACGGAAAATGCAGAAAGGAAGTAATATTTTAGCTTCTTTAGCTTACTACTTAAGACAATCTGTCTACGAAAGAGACATTTTTGACTTTGGACTGAGTAAACAAGAAGGTTGCATGTTAAGTGCAGCTGATTCACTTTACTGATGGCCATGATAGTGGAAGTTTAGCATGAAACTCTACATACAAAGACATGTAAATATAGCTTGTACAACTTTCTCTCTACCATTCCAGCTCTGTAAATCTCAGCGAATGGAGGGTCTATGTAGGAAGACTGAAGCAAAATGGTACAAACCCCTTCGAGAGATCCCTAGGGGTCCTGGACATTAAATCCAGCCAGCAAGGTGGCACCAACATTGCCCTCCTGAAATTGGACGCCAATGTCTCCTTCACTGACTACACCCTACCAGCCTGTTTGGCAGGGGAGGCAATCTCATTTGCTCCTGGCACCAAGTGTTGGGTCACCGGCTGGGGCAACACAGCTGGGACAGGTGAGTCTGGGATATAGTCCAGGGTTACAAAACAGGATACAGATTTCACAGCGTGGACAGTGCTGTTTTATCATTGATCAAGGTACTTCTTTTAAACTGGTCCATCCTGCACAGTAGAGGTGTACCAGAATTCCTTGGGGTGGGGTTCCCCAGTTCCCCAGTGTGGGCAGTGCTGTTGTGTCCATGATTAAGGTGGATCACACAGACTGCTCCATCCTGCACAGCCATATGCAGGGGTATCAGTATTCTTTAGAACAGGGTTAGGTAACAAATGACCAGTGTCCCATCTATCAGAAAGAAATCGTGAAGGGTAAAATGTCCTCTTGTTGTAATAAATTAAATTATATGTGTGTCTCTGTGACTGCAGGAGAACAAGCCCTACAGCAATTAAACACAACGATTGTTCCGTGTGCAACTGCGTCCTCAGACAGCAGCATCTGTATTGATTCCTTGTTCCTCGAGCAGGTAACCCTACCTATATTCCTTCTTCTATTGCTCTTCTGACTATTTTTTGGAGTTCTGCTGGCACAATGCTTGATTGGGGATATTTTATACTGTAATAATAATAATAATAATAATAGAGGTGGTCAGTCGTTCTGTCTCTGTGCTGACCCCCACCATTTTTCTCTCTGTGTGTAGGGAGACTCTGGGGGGCCCTTGGTCTGTAAGCAGGATGCCTGGGTTCAGGCCAGTGTCATTGCCGTTAATGAAACAGCTTCCTCTGCCAAGCTCAGCAGTGCTCAGGTCCGCGCAGTAAAAGTCGGATCTTTCGTCAAGGTGTCACAGTTTGTGACCTTCCTACGGGCAAACGTACCCAACCTGCCTGTGGTAACTCCCAAGACTGACACCACTACCAAGCCCAGCTCATATGCTGTTCCCCAAAAGTCCCACTCTGCTTTCTTCCTGGCGTCCCTGCCCTTTGTTCTGGTCACCTGGATGTCCACACTGTGACCACGCCCTCTTTCACTGATACCCTCGGCCAAACACAGCAGCTGCATCTGGTTGAATTCCATAAATCAGTTTGTACCCCTACATACCTCAGCCTAACTGCAGAATTCAATTCTGGACTTTCTTATCTACTGTACGTCTGGGATGAAGGAGTGTTTGTTGCACTTAGAGATTTTGCTGACAAAAGCACTTAACTAAGATTATTTGTCAAGATTATTGACAAAGATGATACATAATTGCTAAAAAATATTTGTTTCTGATTTTGCCTGCTTTGAAATATACAAAATGAATTACAGTATGTTAATTTATATATCTGTATAGTAAACATTTTAGAATCCACATAGCTTCTATCTATGTAAATCAATGTTCTTGCAATGTGTGCTGATTTTTTCAAAACATTGTAATTAAAAAAATAAAAAAAAATAGAAAAGATAAAGGAGTATCTGTTTATCACCACAGGAATTCTGCAGTTGCAGGTATTTGCCATACATCAACACCCACTGGGCCCGAATATAGCAATAGGTTCTGTCCTGCAGAGAATCCAGTTAAGAGACAAATGAAGGGAGATTGTCACAGCCAACATTCCTCCCCTAGAGTGCGCTCCACTAGTCTTGTCATTAGTTCCGAGATTGATGCTATGTTCCCCAGATGTAGCCTGTTACATCTACTGCTATTTAATGTCTAGCTCCTTTAGTCCTCTGGTACATTAGGGTACGGATGTCGAGAGGCCCGCCTAGCACCAGGATACCATACGTCCGTCTCCTGAGGGCTCAGACCTCATCCCCGACACCTCCCGTTTCCTGAGCCCGGGACCTGGAGGAACTCGCCATGTCATCCTAGGACCTCCATGTTTTTAGTGTATTTGTGTTTTCCCCGTTCCCGGGGATTTTAACCTTGATGCGTCAGAGGATGGATTTATTGCTGATGGACTCATGGACTGTGCCCTGACCTGCCTTTGGACCTGCTCGGATTTGGATGCCATTCTTTGTCTCCTCTGCTCATTATCTCACGGACTGTCACTATTATTTTGTGCACCATTAAACCCCTGTGTGTTTTCCCATACCACACCTCCTGTTTCCTCTAGCTCTCATCGCATCACATAGGGTCTACTACAAAACCCGACACAGACTACAGAACCTGTCCGTAACAGGAGATAATAAGGAATTGTAATGATAGAACTCCATTAGGTGGGTATATATATCAATGAATCAGTCGATCAGTATTTCATTTGCTTCAGCTGCCTTCACAACAGATTGCTACAGAACGCTTTATAGTCTTGTATAGCTGTTGTAGAAATCAGTCAATGATCAGCTTCTTGAACTGAGCAGGAAAGCAGACCTTTATGTTTGCATACAGGAGCACAGTACCGAATACAGTTCTGAAAATGAATACAGCAGTGTTTCCCTTTTTATACAATGAGAGCCACATCAATTTAAGAGAAAGCCTAAACAACAGCAGATATTCCAGCAGAAAAACATCTACAAGGTTTTTTCTTAGTAGTTTCAACTGTTTGTGTACCAAGAGAACATTTAGTTTCAAAATGGAACGCCTGATAGACATTCATGGGAGTCTTGAGCGATTGCAGCCATCAGCCAGCTACTCACCAAGGCTAAGGATAATTATGAGAACAGGGCCCATTGTTTTTTTCTCAGGGCACAAAATTCGTATCCCTTTGGATTTCTTCACTGTGAAACATAAAGCCATATTTCACCATGTGGACACAGAGGAGAGGAAAATAAAAACATTCCAGGGGGAAAAAAGAAACCTGTGGGTCCCAAACCTGATGGTTGATTTCCTTCCAGGCAATGGGTTTGTGGTGCTATAATTATAATAAACCATGGACACACCTGGCCAGATCCATGACTTTCCAGCTCTCCTGGGTGTTTCTCCACCCCTTGCAATGATATTTCGACATTCACTCTAGTTCAGGAGCAATTGCTCCCAAATTTGTAAACAAACCTCCATGAACAGCAGACACCTGTCATCAGTGGTGTGTCAGGGTAATGCAACAGTAGGAGTTTCTGCAGAAGATGGCCACTAGGGGGCATTTGCCCCTGAAATGAGGATGCTGGCTTTGTTTCAGCGTTTGTGCAAAATAACAAAGAAACACATTAAAATTATTTCTGCAGCACGACTACACCCTTGAACACAATCACTTTATTACATCAGAGGTGGCTGGTTAGCTCACTTGGATACAGCATGGTTCTAATAATGCCAAGGTTGTAAAGCACAGTGGTGGCAGCATCCTTTTGTGAAGGTGTTTCTTTTATTAGGATAGAAGGGAAGATGGGTGGTGCAAAATACAAGTCTTGAAGAAAACCTGCAGCCCTCAGCCAGGAAGTTGAAAATGGTTCACCTTTCAACATGACAATGACCCAAAGCACACCGCCAATGCAACCATACAGTGGCTGATGGACAGAAAGGTGAATGTATTTGAGTGGCCTAGTGAGAGCCCTGACTTAAATCTAATAAAAAATCTTTGGAATGACTTGAAGAGGGCAGTCCATCAACAGTCACCACGCACTTTGACTGAGCTTAAACAATTCTGTAAGGAGGAATGAGCAAATATTCCTTCCTCTAGGTGTGCAAAGTTGGTAGAGATGTATACAAACAGACTCAAGGCTGTAATTCAAGCAAAAGGTGCTTCCACCAAATATTAACTCAGGGGGTGTTCTATTATTCAACCTAAATATTCTACTTTTTTACTTTTTCAGAAATGTTTTTTAACTTGGATGTTGCATGGTACAATTTGTAAATAAAACTGAAAAAAGCCTAATTTTATTTGCCTTCTTTAGGGCAACAAATGTGAACATCTTGAAAGGGGGTGGTGACTTTTTAAATGCACTGTACCTCAGATAATCACTTTCTAAACTATATACATTACTGAAAGGGGGTATATTATAATAATGTAATATATACATTATTGTTCTTCTCCTCAGTCTCTTTGTTGTCTCTCTCAGTTTATCCCTATTCTCTCTCTAGTCGTCTTCATTTCTTTCCACTTTATACATGTAACTGCCCTGTTGAAATTAAACTGTCCTTGAAGAGGCCCAAGCTCTGAAATGAGCATCAAAGTTGTGATGTCTGTATTATTCAGTGAACTTCTGAATTTTGCTTTAATTCTGTTTTGTGCCATGAATCCAATTCGACACTGCATTTCGAATGGACAACGACCTCACTGTACTGTATGTGGCAGAGTAAACGTCAGTGTCCGCTCTTACAGTTGTTTCTGCAACTCACGCAGCTTATTGGTTCTTATAGCAGAGTTGCTGAAAAAAATGCCCTCAAGTTTTGCGGGAACTTTTAGACTTATTCCACAGATCTGGCTGCATCTGGCTAGCAGCAATTTGGTTAAGTCTGAATTGAATTCTTCGCTGAGTGTTTGAACACCTCCTTGGCTGCTTTCTCACATTATAGTAACCCCATCTGTGCATACTGCAACAAGTTTGCTTCACCTTGTCTTTTGTGCATGTACCTTATATAAGTAATGAGCTGCTGTTACTTTTATCAGTGGACTCATCCAATATTAAGAAAACACAGGCCTTCTCCCTACAGAGGCGTCTAACTCTTCTAAGAGTGTGCTTGCCATAGCTTGATGCTTCAACGAAATTCGAATTGGCTAACTCGTTTTCTGCAACAAAGTACGCTGCTTTAAGTGACCTGTTTCTCATCCTCCATTGGTACGGCTTAGATTGCCCCAGCCATAGCATTCTTAGCTGATTCCTCCTCACACTTTCGTTTGAGTGCTGCATTATGAGCAACTGCATTCGAGTGTCTAATTAATGTAGACTTTGTAAACCTCACACTAGTGAACACGTTGCAAACTGAGCAGCTCATTTCTCCATCTTTCATTTCGAGCCATGGATATATTTTCAGCCAAATTGCCTGAAACCTATCTGCGCACTTTCTCCTTCCTGTTTCTTTTGTGAATCTCCTCATCACCGTCATTACATTTTTCAGGGTCTGATGCAGTTTTCTGTGGAGGCTCACTTTCTTCAGAAGCAGATTTTTTTTTCAGCCAACATTCCATTTTTTATCGAGTTTATTAGCTAAATGTTGAAGATCTCCCATTAAAAAACCTTAACCGATTCCAAATCCAAATCACTCTGTTTTCTATACCTATATGTCTGCCTATAACAAGTGTGAGATGTGAAACAACCACACAAAGAGCGCATTGTCACTGAATTATGCAGTAGTGCTTTGCAACATGCTAGGAAAACTCAATCTGACAGAGAATATGTGTGGATTGATTTACGCTGATTCTATCTGGGAGATGGCTTGCCAATAAACACGTGCAGGACATTCTCGCATTAGAAATGCTGGATTTGCGGGAATAACTACAATTGTGCGGCATACCAACGATCACGCGCAGAAATTCAAGCTCTGCCGGCACACAGGTGAAAGATGCAAAAATAAATAAGTCTGTATGGCAGTGCTGAGGTCATTACGGCCCATTCTCTGGAGAGATCCAACCCACTGTTGGCTGTAAAACTACTCTGTTTTATGAAAAACCTGAAACTTACACACACTTTCATCTTTATACAGGGAGGCATTTTACACAAACAAAAAGGGTATCAATTCTTAAACATAATAAAGGGATGCATTCTAGTTACAACAATATTAATTGAGCACCTTTTGAAACAATCATGTTGCAGTGCTTTACAATCCTTAAATACATTATTACTATGAATTCTCTAATAATAAACGTCTCTGAAAGCAATTCCTTTAAAAAAGTATGTCTATCTTAGGCAGAGAGTATTTGTAGTCTTAAGTCAGAGGTCTCAAACTATTCTATTCCTGAAAGAAACAGTGCAGGGATGGTTAACAGATCGCCTTATATCTCCCTTTTCTAAAAATTGGGAGGTTAGCGATAAATTCATAAAGTCGTCAGGGCTGGATGAAAACTTTTTCAAGGTCTCTTGCGCTCCATTAATCAAAAATTAATCAAAAAAACACGGGAATCTAGTTTGTAAACGTCTAGGATAAAATTAAAAGGTTAAAAATTCGTATTAAATAATTCGAGAAATTACCTAAATCCACAAGACCGCATTCCGAGTTGTTCGCTCTAGCGCGAGCCAGATTCGTTAGGGTCAAACAGAGGCCAGTGGCGCGAAAATAAAGTGACGCTGAAGACGGAGTCAAACCCGTTAGCGACATGTCACCTTTTACTGAGGTAAAATTTAGACATAGTGCATTAAATCGTACTTTTCTGAGGTAAAATAGCGGGTTTACCATATGGAAATGCTAGAATTGCCTCTTCAAACTATAAAGGTAACGGTGTAAATATATCGCCGCTGTTGGATCTGAAGGAGGAAGGACGGATTACTACAAAATCCATTAAAATACACAATTG